AAGCAAGCTTCCAGAATTTTGGCTTCGGCCTTGAGTTCGTGCCACTGGAAGATTATTGTCGCTGTCTTCAGTGTCAGATAACATGCCGTTACACTGCCTCTGAGTATTAGCATAATGAGGACATGACGTAGGCCTTCCAAATCTTTGTTCTTATGACTTCATCAAACATGTAAAATTTCAATAAAAATTATCGTAGAGTAATACATATATATGGCTTGTCCAATGTGTCACCCCTTGTGGTTAGTTTATTAAATTTCACCCTTTGTTGTTACTAAAAAAAATAAGAAAAATAAATAAACAAACCTGGCGTAAACATTCAATAAGCAATATGTATTACTCTCATCCAAATGAATGGGGACATCCCAAAGACACAAAGGAAATACATTTGTACTGAATCTTCAATACTACCAAAGTACCGAAAATATTTTCCTAAAGTACTCCTTCTCTTCCCCAATAAAATTATATTTTGAGGCGGTTAAAAAATAAAATAAAAACCTATCAAATTATTTTATGGCCTTCTAATTTTAGTATAATCTAATCACTATTAGTTGACTGTATTTCCATATTTTCACCGTAAGCAAGATCTTAAATCTAATATTATCTAATCTCTATAACTTGATCTTTTATTCTATCAATTTGCAAAAACGTATCTGAATGCGCGATACAACTCGACTCGATAAATGGATTACTTTGCTCTGATGAGCGTTAATTAAAACATTATTTGAAATAATCAAATAGTCCTTGTGGTCTGCATTGTTGGGCTCGTACGAGAAAAATATAAATACACAGATTATAGAATACTTGCACTGATCTGCGTTATTCTTCCGCAAGTTAATTAATTTAGGTGGCATCTAATTCTCCATAGTATTTTCCTCACCACTTTTTTTCTGTCTTGTCGTTCTCATGCGGTTGCTGTTTCTTTTTTCCTTTTGTTTGATTCTTCCACTTGTTCCATTCATTTGAGCCTTGATTATAGTCCACTAGCCTATCCACTTGTAAATTCTATTCTCTATTATCTAGTATGTGTATATGTTTTCTTTTAATTTTAACAATATAAAATCATGTGTGATAGAGGTTCAAAAACAATTTCTTCTATATATGACATCAATTTTTGTGTGGAAAACACCAGATATTTTATTACCATAAACAGAAAACAAATTAAATCATACATAAAAAAAGGATAATGAACAAACAAATAAAGTAAAATAATTTTATCATATTATATAAAACAATAATACTTTACTTTCGTTATAGAATATACACAATTACATTTGACAAGGATGTAAACATATACAGTAATTTGTATAACTTACTATTTGAAGTACCCGTATTGTAATAATATTTTACAAATTCTTAATTATATTACAATTAAATATTTATAATAAATTTTTTTCTTATGAACATGTAATAAATGTGTGATTAATAGTCAAAATAAATATTTATTTTCAATACACTTAATCTTTTTCTTTAATGAATTCATTTGTTTTATAATTTATTATGGATAAAATTTATATTAAAAAATAGGTAGTATATTAAAAAAAGTCCATTTTTTCGACAGAAAAATTCCGTCGAAAATGAAGTTTTCGACGGAACCGTCAAATTTTTCTTCGTTGATAACTCATTTTTTGACGGAATTAAAGATTCCGTCAAAAAATTTTGACAAAATTTATTTTCGTCAAAAATTTCGTCAAAAATTTTCGACAAAAAATCAATGAAATTCCGTCGAAAATTGTTGTGATGGTTTTCGACAAAAAACGAATTCCGTTGAAAATTTTCGATGGAAAAACAATGAAATTTCGTCGAAAACTAATGTAAAAATTTTCGACGGAAAACAAATTCAGTAAAAATTTTGCAACCGAAAATCAATGAAATTTCGTCGAAAATTGTTGTAATGGTTTTCGACGGAAAACGAATACCGTTGAAAATTTTTGACGGAAAATCAATGAGATTCCGTCGAAAACTGATGTAAAAATTTTCAACGAAAAACAAATTCCGTCAAAAATTGTTGGGATGATTTTCGACAGAAAACAAATTCCGTTGAAAAATTTTCACGGAAAATTAATGAATTTCCGTCAAAAACTGATGTACAATTTTTTGACGAAAAACAAATCCCATCAAAAATTTTTAGAATTTTTGTAAAAATTTTCTCTCTACAAAATTGATACCAATTTTCTAAGATGCACTTGATAAAAAATATAATTAAATTAAACAACATATCAAAGTTAAATCTCCTTAATCGTTAAATGAACAAAAGTTCATATCATGATATTAGGCTAAGTATTAAAAAATGACTTATACAATTAGTTAGCTAGTGGCGTACAATATGTATATATTGTAACCTTAGAAAATTAATAAATAAAAATTAACAAAAGTATATATTCCTTCTAAAACCTTCAAAAAATTAATTTTTTTTACAATTTATTTTATTGATCTGTTTTTGACGAAATTCATTTTCCGTCGAAAATCTTCGACGAAATCCATTTTTCGTCGAAAACCTTCAAAAAATTAATTTCTTTTATATTTATTTTATTCATCCATTTTCAACGGAATTCATTTTTCGTCCAAAATCTTCGACAGAATCCATTTTTTGTCGAAAAACCTTCACAAATTTAATTTCTTTTACATTAATTTTATTCATCCGTTTTCGACGAAATCCATTTTTCGTTAAAAATCTTCACAAAATTAATTTCTATTACAATTTATTTTATTCATCCATTTTCGACGGAATTCATTTTGCGTCGAAAATCTTCGACGGAATCTATTTTTCATTGAAAACCTTCACAAAATATATCTTTTACATTTATTTTATTCACCCGTTTTTTACGGAATTCATTTTTCGTCGAATATCTTCAACATAATCCATTTTCCGTCGAAAAGTTTCACAAAATTAATTTCTTTTACAATTTATTTTATTCATCGATTTTCAACGGAATTCATTTTCCGTCGAAGAATTCATTTTCCATCGAAAATCTTCAACGGAGTCCATTATATGTCGAAAACGTTCACAAAATTAATTTATTTTACATTTATTTTATTCATCCATTTTTGACGGAATTCATTTTTCATCGAAAACCTTCACAAAATTAATTTTTTTTACATTCATTTTATTCATTCATTTTTGACGGAATTTATTTTCCATCGAAAAAGGTTCGACAGAATCAATTTTTCGTCGAAAGTTTTTGACGAAATCTGTTTTTCGTCAAAAAATTCAACGAAGAACGAATTTTGTCAAAAATTTTGTCAGTAATTTCCGCGGAATTTTTTCTGTCAAAAAATTCCGTCGATAATAATGACTTTTCTAGTACTACACATATAATATAAATTAAACATGTTGAATATAAAATTATTATGCATTTTTCAAAAATTTAAACTTTTAAAATAATTGATTCATATTAATACCTTCCCACTGTTGAAGGTTGAGTTGTATCCTTCTAATGCATGTATGTTTCTGCTTATTTGTATGAAATAATCATGTTTTTTTTAATTCTTTTCCAAAAAAAAATTATAGAAAAAAAAAACAATTTCTGCAATCTTACCACGCACGGACTTCTTTACTTTCCAATAGAGCTATCATTTTCTATTGCACCTACAAACTGTCAGTCACCTTAACCCACTTCCATATATTAATCATAATCAATATTCCAATTTTTTTAGCATTATCTAATCTCTATTACTTGATCTTTATTTTATCAATTCGCAAAAACGTACCTGAATGCGCGTACAACTCCACGATGTAAATGGATTATTTTGATCGGATGAGCATCAAGACTTTATATACTTGAAATAATCAAATGGTCTATTGGTTTGCATTGTTGGGTGCATATGGGAAAATTATAGATACATAGATTATAGAATCTTTGCCCTGGTCTGCGTTTTTCTTCCGCAAGTTCATTTTGGTGGTATCTAATTATCCATTGTATTTTCCACACCACTTTTTTCGATCTTCTTGTTCTCATGCTCTTTTCTTCTTCTTTTTTTCATTTTCCGTTTGATTCTTCCACTTGTTCGATTCATTTGAGCAGGCTTAATATAGTCCACTAGCCTATGCATTTGTAAATTCTATTCTTTTATATCTGGTATGTGCTGATGTGCATAAGTTTTCTTTCATTTTTTAACAATAAATTAAGGGAAAAGTGTCTATCATTTAAAATTACACAACTTACATCCTTTCACTCTCACAAAGAGGTGGGACCCACATCTTTATTTTTTTTTGTCAACTCTCTCTCCTCCTTAATCTATCTCTTTCTCTCTCTTAAAATGACACAACTTTACATCCTTTAAAATTATACACACTTTTCCCATAAATTAAAGACATGTATGAGAAGGATTAAAAACAACTTCTTCAATGTCTTCAATTTTTATTTTTATTTTTGGAAAACATCAAATATTTTATTACCAGAAACAGAAAAGAAATTAAATCATACATAAAAAAGATAATGAGCAAATAAATAAAGCAAAATAATTTTCTCATGATATAGAAAACAATAATACTTTACTCTTCCTCTAGATCAAAGTCAAGCTCAAATGTCATATGGCAAATATTGCTGTCTTCTTTCTCCCTGCATGTGGCTAGGTGAATTGCGTATCTATAATATACTTTACTCTTCGTTATAGAATATACACAATTACAATTGATCGCAAGGAGGTAAACACTGTAATTTGTATAATTTACTATTCGAATTACCCGTAATTTGTATTGGTATTTTATAAAGTATTTTATAAAATATTAGTTATACTATAATTTTATAAGAGGTTAATGTTAATATTTATTATAATTTGTCACATGACATATTAATTATGTTAAGATGAGACATAAGAGGTTGATTCTTTATAAAAGAAAAGCACATAATCTAAAGTTATCTTCCTTTAAAGATGTTAAGAGATATAATAAAAATCATTCATATACTTTCTACTAAAGGGTTAAAACTTTCCAAAAGAGTTGATTCCATAATATGATATCATAGCGTATGATAGTGATTAAAAAAAATAAGTTAGCATTGGTACATATATTAATCACCCTTCAAAGCCCAAAGAATTCTGTCGTGGAGGAGCATTACAAATGATAAGCTTATTCACATTGACATTACCATTGTTATCGCCGATAACCGTACCCTCATTGGCAAGAAATGCTCGTGCATGATGAGTTCGTGCTACTGGAGGATCATTGTTGCTGTCTTCAGTTCTCTCAGACAACATGCCGCTACACTGTGTCTGAGTATTAGCACAATGAGGACATGACGTAGGCTTCCAATTCTTTGTTCTTTTGACTTCATCAAACATGTAAAATAATGCTGAAGAAGGGTGTTGGGTAGGACCCTCCACATCAAAATCCAAACCACCATTATCTGATGAAACTCCAATCTTTACCACCACTGAGAGCCCAATATCAGTTCTAGTGGAAATATTAATATAAGTAAAATAGTGAGCCACGGTTATCATAAAAGGCTTTTCATCCCTTCCTTTTTTCTTCCACTCCCTAACAACAAGACCCCTCCTCGATTCAGACCCATATCCTATAGCAGATTGTTCAGTAATAACTCCCCATGCATTAACAGTCTTTGTTATATTCGGAAGAAGTTCCTTAACATAAATCTTTTTTCCTTCACGCTCCATCTCTGACCTTGTATTTATGCGAAGACCACCACCACCTTCAACTCTTCGTACGCTATCAAATAAAAAGATACATAAATATTTTTCGAGATCATCCTCGATGTTTATCACTAACTCCTCATCATGTGGACTTTCTCCATATGGATTTTTTCTTACGATTTTTGTTAAAGTGAGTGCACAATATGACCGTTCTGCGTTATACCTAGCTTTCCATGTCTTGCTCTTTTTTCCATCACCTTCTTCCCAAGTCTCTGCTTTTTTCAAGTCAATCGTAACGTCCCTGCCTAGTTGTAAATGGTAAGAACTTTTTCCATTTCCGAGAAGACGAAAGCCTCCATGATTGTTTCCCATGTATTTGTATTTGGAGAATAGCTCACTTTCTACAACATATATACAACATGATCAGAGACCATAAATGCAATCAAAATATCTCGAACGAAAATCTATGCAAATTTTAATTAATCTATAAAAGTAAATGCAGTGAGAAAAGTAAAGAAAAATCGTAAGGCCCAAAGTCTGAAAAGTGATTATTCAGTTGTCTGTATAAATGCATGTAATAATGGAAAAATCTTCGTTAGTACCTATATCTAGAGATGATAAATGAATCAAGTAATTGGGCTCGGCTCGTGAAGGTCTAACCTTATATGTTTAAAATTAATTGTTGGCACGATGCGTGTACTTTTATAAAAGCTCGTTTAATAAAAAAGTCTCAGACTCTAATTCAAAAGTTCGGCCTTAGAAACTTATCTTAGGCTGACCTAGTATATTATTATTATTATTATTTATATTTTTTATACTACTTGTAATAGCCATCTCTTTCTCTCAAATCATTTCAACCTACTTTATTGGTTAAACAAACTTTTTGAATTATTTTGTTCTATATTATGCTGTTTGGATATACATTAAATTTAGGAATATTTATGAAATTACTAGTGTTGTTGATTGTATATTCTGTTTGGATAATATTTTGTTATTTTTTTTCTTCTTAAACAGGCTAAATCAGACTTTTATTTTTTGTAAATAAAATAGGTCACAGGCCGATAATTATATTTATAACAGGTAACAGGCTTGATAAGCCTGACACATTTAAACACAGACTTAACCTTTTAAAACCAAAGTTCGACTCGGCCCAGACCGTTAACACTCCTACCTATATCCTTCCAATAAAAACATAATACATCACCTAATAAGTTTCTTTAAAAAAGGAAAAAAAAATATTATACCTATATATTTTGGTGAATATATTGTTTATAATTTCATTTTAAATGAAAATTGTACTCGGTATTCAATATGACTTAGTATCAAAAATATTTTCCTAATAATGATAGGCAAGCTAACCAACTACCATTCATGTAAAATCAGTCATTTATCTATTAACAAACTTTTGAGATAATTAATTTATAGTTTGATATTAAAATTTTCATGATTATATAATTTAGAGTTATTCTTGGTTACATGAGGTTTTATTTTCGAATCTTAGTGTTATTATCATATAAAATAAAATTGCTCTTTGCTTCACCAATTCTTTTAAATAAAAATTAAATTTCAATAAAATTTTGCAATTTCAGTTTTGAAAATAGTAAACTTAGTTTGTTGCGTATTCACAATTAGAGTAGTTTCTTTGGAATAAATTTTAAGGAAACGACTTGTAAACTCTATTGTGCTAGTGAGTGAGGTTCTAAAAGGTATAGGACCCTAGGGAGTTGATCTAATTCCTCTCACCTTGAGTTGGTGCCCCTATGTAAAGAGTGACTACTTAAAAAATAATGTTGAAATGAACTTTATAAACTAGTATATTTGGTAATTGCCGTTACATCTTTGAAATAGGTTGTGATTTTGTGAGGGTCTATGATTGTGGTCCTTTGGATATTGAAAGTACATTGGAGTATGTTGCGGATAAAGGCAAGCTTTGTGTTGTCATGGTTAATCCCCTTTGTGTTGCCATGTTTTTAAAAAATGATTTATGAACATATATTACTTGATGGATTTGGAAATGACTGTTAAATTGGTGTGTTGATGTATATGTGTGGTGGTAATAGTATAGACCTACACGGGGCAGGCTGTGGTTTGAGTGTAGGGCACAAGGGGAAGCCTTGTGTTTTGTGGTATGCTGCAGACGTGCGTAGAGCATACTTTATCTGGCCAATATAATTGATTTGTTAGCTATTACAAACTATATATCTTACATAATGCATATGATTTTACTATTATGTTGAACTTATTATACTTGTAAGTGAACTTGGGGCGGAGTGAGCCTTCCAGAACCCTAGTTTACTGAAATTTGTCAAAATCACATCCCGTATAAGGCACATTTTCAGATACTGAGATTATTGATATTAATGTGTCTTAAGGTAAGAGGCCAACGTAGAGATTCTAGCATGTCATGAGACATGCATTGCTAACATTGATGTTTATATACTACCATGAGATATGATTACCTTTTTACATGCTATGTGTTGCTTGTATTTGGGAAGAGCATAGGGTCGTCTATGCCTTCTTGATCAAGCATTTGATTAGAAACACATGTATAAGTTATGCTATTGAGTATTTGTAGTTGGTCATATGATGTAACGATATGATTAATCATGTTCGTTATTATTTTGTAATATAATTGGTATGTGAAATGGCCTAAGTAAAGGAGTGTTAGGTGTCAAGATGTATGCATGTATCACTTAATCAAATCCCTTTAGATATGATGATATAGGTGCCTAGGAAGGTACTAGATAGCTTAATTAAACCACATATATGGTTGACACTTGTTGTATGTCTTAAGTAAGGACAACTAAGTATAAGATGAAGTGATATGGGGCAAGGGATTGAATGTTAAACGCCCAGTCCAAAGAGAGATATTCCATTTCGCCATTATCAGGGAATATTCAGATATTGGTGACCTAATGTCCGGATATTGATATCCATATATGATATGCGGATATGGCATATATGGATATGTCCCCTGCAAGTATCTGGATATTCTGGGCGAACAGAAGCAAAACTAAATATTTAAGAAGAAATACTTGTAGACCTTATGGAATTTAAATATGGAAGGCTTAAATCCATCTTTACGGAACGTGGTGCCTTAATAAATGTTACCTTAATAAATGTTAAGAAAAATGATAGTAGCTAAATAAATGATTTAGATGTGATTGGATGTCCAAGTATAAGCAATTGTTGAGATAATATGTTGGAAAGCGTTCTCCCATAGTTCATAATTCAAGTAGTGTGTAATTAAGCACAAAAGTAATTAGTAAATAAGGTAATTGGAAGAACAAGTAATATGGAATGAACTTAACTTGACATGCAAGTAACTATTATAAATTAATATAGAATGAAAAAAATTTATTCACATTTTTACATGAGATTAATTATGAATTAAGATGATTAGCTTCAGCATTTATTTAAGTAATTAGCTGCACTTAATACCATTCTGATGTTAACAAACCGGGTCGACACGGGGTGTTACAGTATCCCTCACCTATTGGTTAGATTAAGATTAACACGGACGGCTCCGCAGTGAGACAAAACAGGAAAAATGGCTATAATGGTGTCCTGAGGGATGAAACTGGTCGCTAGTTGTTGGGCTTTGCCAATAATTTGGGGGCTGGGAGTTCAGTCAAAGTATAACTTTGGGATCTTTTCCTAGAGCTCCAAACTGCCTCGAACCATGGTTTCAGAAGAATTATCATTGAAGAGGATTCTCATGTAGCGCTAAATTTGGTTGAAGATGGTTGTCCTCGCAATCATTCCTATGCTGGTTTGGTTAACAGGATAAGTCAACATAGAAACCTTGATTGGCAGGTCAAAATAGTGCATACCTTTAGAGAAGGTAATGGAGTAGCCGATTGGCTTGCTAACCTATCTCATACTCTTGGGTGGGAGACTGTTTTGTTTAACTCCCCTCCTAAAGGTTGTATAGGAGTGCTGGGGAATGATTTTAGGGGTGTTGCTTGGCCCCGTTTGACTAGGTCCTTGTAGTTCTACTATCTTTAGTTTCCTTCTTTTCAAAAAAAAAAAAAGATGGTACTACCAAGTAGGTATTCTTTTACTAAAAAAGAAAATACTAAAAAAAATAAAACTTAGATAACAATAACCATAAAAGGGTGGATAAAATGAATTAAATCAATTATTTATTTTTTAAAAAAGATTTAATAAAATATGTACTGAATCTTCAATATTATCAAAGTACCAAAAATATTTTTCTAAAGGCACCTACTCCTTGGCTTACCCAATAAAATTATATTTTAAATCGGTAAAAAAATAAAATAAACAAACCTATAATTTTTTTATGGCCTTCAAACTGTCAGTCAAATTAACCCACTTCCATAATTTCAGCGTATTCAATATTCTAATTTTAGTATAATCTAATTTTATTTTTTTTGGTAAACAGTATAATCTAATCTCTATTAGTTGACTGTATTTTCATATTTTCGCCATAATCAATATCTTAATTTTAGTATTATCTAATCTCTATTACTTGATCTTTTATTCTATCAATTTGCAAAAACGTACCTGAATGCGCGTTACAACTGGACTCGGTAAATGGATTACTTTGATCTGATGAGAGTTAAGACATTACTTGAAATAATCAAATGGTCCTTCTGGTCTGCAATGTTGGGCTTGTACGAGAAAAATATAAATACACAGATTATAGAATCTATGCACTACTGATCTGCGTTATCATTCCGCAAGTTAATTAATTTAGCGAGCATCTTATTCTCCATCGTATTTTCCGCACCACTTTTCTCTGTCCTATTGCTTTTTTACTTTTGTTTGATTCTTCCACTTGCTCGATTTATATATCTGAGCAGCCTTAACTATACTCAACTAGCCTATGCGCTTGTAAATTCCTTTTTTTTTTTTAACAATATGCATTGGAACTCCACCACCTCACATTCAAAGTTGATCACATATTCTAACAAATTAAAGTGAATTAGAATTAGAATTTAAAAATATTTGGAGAAGACAAGTTGAAATAAAAATTATGTAGGGATTTGACAATCTAAAGGTCGTTAATAGAGCTATGAGTGTGAAAATGCCCGAGTACATAATCATAATTATGGTTTTTTTAACACTTGCTTTAATATTCAGAAAGACAATATCCAAAAAAAAAAATATTCAGAAAGACAAAACTAAGGCTATATTACTTGCTACACAAAATTTAAGCTTTGATACCAACTTTGTCAAGACTCAAAATTTGAGTAATGACTAACACAGTAACTATTATCAAATAGTCTGACAAACCTAATTAGCACAAAAATATATTTACCAATAACATATCAAATCGTAAGATATATATATATATATATATATATATATATATATATATATATATATATATATGGAAAAAAGTTTCCGATATTACTTTAGATAACTTTATCTAATGTTCATTGAAACGACGTCGTTTTGGGGTTGAAAAATTTAAAAATTAGAGTGATAAAGACTATTATAACCCTGAAATAAATTAAAATTACAAAAATACCATGATTTCTGTCC